ATAGAAATATTGGGCACCTTATGGCAATATGCAATTATTAATGTTGGCCCTTTAAGGCACCCTGTGTGGCATAAAACAGGAATGTGACTGAAGGTGACACAACCAACTAGCCTGTCGCTTTAAGGCTCGGGGAAAAATATCTAAGGGTTTTCTACCACTCAGACTATACTGGCAGGTGTGAGGGCAAGGCACAAACAAGCTGTCAGCTTACCTAGTGTTCCCTCCGGAATGGAAGCAGAGGGGGGAACACTAGGGAGCTGACAGTTGCAGCCAACACCCACTCTGAACGCTCCCGCCCTTCAGGGGGCTGGGAGTGTCGGAGAGAAATCGCGGGAACCTAGCCTGAAAATATGGCTGCCGCGCTATGCGGCTGTATCGCGCATGCGCGCGCCGACCCGGCTGATACTGACCGCGCCGACGGCTGCCGGCGCGGGGAAGCCGCCGGTGAGCGCAATCAAGGGTAATAAACTACCCGGCGGGGTGGGAGGGGGAGGGAGGGAGGGAAGGAGAGGAGAGTTCCCCGAACGAGGAATGGGACGGAGAGCCCAGACAGGGAACACTGGCCCCCCAGCCACCCCCACAGCTACAGAGAAATAAAAAATATAAAGCAGAAATGAATGAAATTAACCACCATCTAACACATGGTAGGAAACAAGTGCAGCTAAACATATAAGTGCAAATGAATTAAACACACAGTATGAACAGAATTGAAGAGAGCCAAAATTAGGTGATACTTAGCTGAGGCAGCAGCAAAGAAAGAGGGAGAGAAAAGGTCACATGGGTGGCTATTGATAGGACTGTTCCTATTGGTTGGGATATCAGACTGTTAACCCTTTGAGTACTCAGTTTGATTTCGTTTATGTTTATGCATTTCTTTTTCTTTGCTGCTGAGGTATATTAAAGAAAGAGAAAGCACAATATGAGCCTCCGTGTCCTTTAATAAAATTGGGAGGTGGGTGGGCCTCTCTGCTTGGAGAAATATCAATGCTGGCTGCTAGTTTGTGCCTTGGGGGGGTGTGTGGGCAAGAAACTCACTCTGCTCATGAATATGTTTACTGTAGCTTTCACTGCTTCCTTATCAGAGGAAGCGGATTTGAAAACTTGTGGCACTTGCTGTTCAAGGCCTATCAAGGCTTTATTTTTTGTTTTGTAATTTAAAGGTTTTGGGGAAACAATATGATAGGGACCAAGTCACTAGTAATTTAAAACAAGTTTGAAAAAGAGGGTTGGAGTAACCCTTTAATATGTATTATCATTCTTTATGATCTAGGTTTCACCTCCTTGTTTCTTCTAGGTATATGTCCAGACACTCATTCACCTGGCATGTTCTCCTGGTTTCCTATACTTTTTCCTATCAAGGTGAGTAGCTGGCAAAAATGTATTTTAAAACGTTTTAATACAGGTTAGGCTATTTCCTGCATCAGTCGTTTACATATGACATTGTCTTGCTTGCATGTTCGTTTATGTCCACTACTGTAGAAGTAAGATAACAGATTATCTTAGTATCTTGTAATACTTTTATTTCCCCTCTTAACCTAATCTGACCCATCATAAATATCAGCTCCTTAGTACCATCTTCCATGGACCGCTGATGCTGGCAATAGCTTTTTAAAGTGGAATTGGCAGGATTTGGCATCTGTAAATATGAGACATAAAGGTGAGGCCAGACTCAGAGATAAGCAAAGTAAGCAAGCTTAAAGGACAGGCTGTTGTCGTGTACCATCAACTTGTAAGCAGAGTGACAAAGGAGGATTATTATAGGCAGAGAAGTTAAGAATCTCAGATTTGGATTCAGTTTTAGAAAGTGGGAGAGGACTTCCAATAGGAATGGAAGAGAGGCAGACTGAAACTCATTCTAGGGCAGTTGGGGGTGGGGCAGGATGCCTGTTTAATCAGCATACAGGTGGTAGCAGATTCCGAATGAATACGTTTGCCAAAAGAGGCAGTACAAAAACAAAACAGGACACAGAGGAAATAGTCTTGGGGGGGCTTTAATTGAGACTGTATGTGGAGAGGGTGACACAAAAAGGAGATACTGAAGGATTGTTGGGAGAGATATGATCATAACCAAGAAAGGACAGTGTCCTGAAGGCCAAAGGTAACAGAGATATGGAGCGGCCATGGTGAGTCCAGCAAGGGAAGAAAGTAAAGTTAAACTCTGACAGGGACTTCCTGCGTGGATTTGTGCTGGGCTCTGCCAGCTGCCTGCTATTGATAACTGTGTAACTGTCCTGCATCATGCAGGAGCTGCAGCATTTCGGTACTGATGTGAGCACGTATTCCTTTTAGGTTAGTGTTGTAGTTAGTGTCGGGTTAATAATACTTGGTTAGGGTTGGTGTAATTAATATCGTTCACTACCAAAAGTTAATTTAGATCCTATATTATTATATAAATAATATAGGATATTGCAAATTCTAAGCAGGCTTTTATGTGCCTTGCAGTAAAGAGGGGCTTTTGTCTTCACTGGCCAGTCTGCCAATCTGGGTTAGTTTTATAGATCATGTGTGATATGCAGACTGGCTAGTGAAGACAAAATCCCCTCTTTACTGCAAGGCACATAAAAGCCTGCTTAGAATTTGCAAAGATTTAACCCCTTAAGGACCAAACTTCTGAAATAAAAGGGACTCATGGCATGTCACATGTCATATGTCCTTAAGGGGTTAAAAAGCCCCATTAGAACTCTCAGAATGAGAAACAAGATCCTCTTGTCTGATGCAGTAAGATTGAACGGTTTGGCCTCAATTAATCAATAGGAGTGCAAGGTTCTCAGGACCTCAGATCAGGCTGAAAGGTTCATCTTCCAACAGGAGAATTGCATTGTCTTGGCTGTGTTACAATGGTCAGAGTAGTTTAGCAACAAATCTGTGGATGTTCTTGGTCCCCTGTATTACTGAGGCCTTTCTTCCTCAATTGCTCAGTTTGGCCAGGTGGCTAGCTGTAGGAACAGACCTGTTACAAACTTATTCCTTTCAAGATTACTGGGGACCTTCAATGCAGCTGAGACTTGTCTGACTTCTCCAGGTCTGGGCCTTGACAAAATCGTCTGAGCTCTGCAGACAGTTTCTCTCACCTCAATGCTTGTGTTTTTTGCTTTGATATGCATTTACAGCTGTTGGATCTTGGATACATGTTTACCTTTCAAAATCATGGATTCTGTATGAGTGCAGATTGAGGTGAAACTTTTTTTTTTTTTTTAATTATTATTAAAGTGGTGAAAGATTTAATGGACTTCTGAATGCACTGTATGTATTATATATTCTATAACTTTTTTTAATTTTTTTATTTTCTCTCTAACACAGCAACCTATTCCACTAAGAGAAGGCGACAAAGTGTGTGTCCGGTTCTGGCGCTGTAACAATGGGAAAAAAGTTTGGTATGAATGGGCTGTGACCTCTCCAGTCTGCTCTGCTATTCACAATCCTACTGGTCGTTCTTACACCATCGGCCTATGATCTTTGAATGTACAAAGATACGTTTTTTTTTCTACATCTGGGGAACCCAAGGATAAAGTTGAAGGGAGAAGTATTTGAAATACTGACATAACCAGACCACATGCTAGTTGTTGGTCCAGCGCTAATGTGTATTTGGCAGTAAAGTACTTGCCTTTATGGAGAAGAACTTTGTAGCTGGACTTGTATCATTTTTGTGGTTTTCTCATAGCACTTAACTACTTTTGTTTTATATCTGTTGCAATAGAAACTTAGAATATTATACACTGTTTCAGGATACTGACCTAGGACTTGATCGTCAATAGATATTAGCAGAAGACTCATTCCAGAAGATGTCACATTGTGCTATGTCTGAAATTACAGGTGTACATACAAACGTGGACAGTTCTTTGGACAAAGTTTTTAAAGCATATCTAATAGTGGTCTGAATGAAAGGCAAACGTTAACGGATATAGAACCCACTGTATATCATGTATTCCAACTTACAAATGTTTAGTGTTAACACCTGGAAATTTTCTCGGCTGCCACTTGTATAAGCCAGTTGTATTTGTTTTTCATTGCGTTACTTTGATATGCATTGCTCTGGACTGATTTGTTACTATAAAGAACCTTAAACATTTATGCCTTGGAGTCTACAATTATTTACAACTGCATTCCAGTTGATCCACAATTGGACCAAGTGTGGTGGAATTAGTAAAATATAGATTTTCATGGTAAATAAAAGCCACTTATTGCCTTTCAATATTCTCCCTGAAAGCCTAAACTCTATTTATTTTTTGAAAGAAAATGGTTGTCCTGTAGTATAAATCATATTCTATTTTAGGGTTTTTACAAAGGAACTTCTAGTTATTAGCATATGAAATCTATATGTGCAAGGCAGCAACTTGCATTCCCTTAGTCTCCGCATAAAGAACATCTGCATCCAAGAAACTAAACTTATCACAACCATTAGACAACTAATTTATTCTTCTTGAACTATTGTCTATGGTTAAAAAAAAAAAATACAAAAATTTAAAAAAAATTCAAGTAACAAACATAGCCGGCCACAGCAATGCCAGCAGAGGGAGTGCCTGTAATGACAGGTACTCCCCCAGCTGCCTGTAAAAAAAAAAAAAAAAAAAAAAATTATAAAAAAATGTTGTGTAAAATTTAATTATATATTGTGTGTGTCCCTGCCCCCCCCTTTGGAAAGATATGAATTTCTGCACAAATTGGTCATAAAATGTGATCTGATCATCATCATCAAGTCACAACAATAGACAATCACAGTCTGCTTAAACTAATAACACACAAAGAATGAAATGTTGCCATGTTTTTATTGAACACACCATGTAAACATTCACAGTGCAGGTGGAAAAAGTATGTGAACCCTTGGATTTAATAACTGGTTGAACCTCCTTTGGCAGCAATAACTTCAACCAAACGTTTCCTGTAGTTGCAGATCAGACGTGCACAACGGTCAGGAGTAATTCTTGACCATTCCTCTTTACAGAACTGTTTCAGTTCAGCAATATTCTTGGGATGTCTGGTGTGAATCGCTTTCTTGAGGTCATGCCACAGCATCTCAATCGGGTTGAGGTCAGGACTCTGACTGGTCCACTTCAGAAGGCGTATTTTCTTCTGGTTAAGCCATTTTGTTGTTGATTTACTTCTATGCTTTGGATCATTGTCCTGTTGCAACACCCATCTTCTGTTGAGCTTCACCTGGTAGACAGATGGCCTTAAGTTCTCCTGCAAAATGACCCGTGTTACCATACGCTCTCAAAGGCAACATAACCAATCTGGCAAATTTCAATGTGAAAAAACTGAAAAATGTAACGTGCTATATTTTGACCCTGTAACTTCCCAAAACTCCATATAACCTGTACATAGGCCAGGGGTACTGTTACAAGTGAGACATCACTGAATACAAATGTGTATTTTATTGCAGTAAAAGCAAAAGGTATGACATTCACAGTTAGAATGTCATGTAGAACTAAATTATTTTTTTTTTTTTTTCTCCCACTTTTAATATTTTATTCATATTAATTTGTTTCATACCTAAATATTTGATGTTAAATGAAAACCCTGTTTCCCCTGAATAAAATGATATATAATGTGTGGGTGCACCTAATAAGAAAGAGGCGAATTATGCCTGAACAGACATATAGCGCAAATTCAAGTTTTTGTTTACGTTTTGTTTTAATCATGTGTACATTTGGCTCAGTGGTTAAGGGGTTAAAAAAAATAATAATTAATAATACTCACACACATAATTGGGTAAGCCCTAAATCTTGGATTGGTAGGGGAGGTGTGAGGACTGGTTTGGGAACCCCTGCTGTAGTCTATAAAATAAAACATTTTCCATCTTCACAGGTTAACATTTGTTATCTAACAACCGGAACCGCGGTGATCACAGCCTGGATATATGGCTCTATTGTATGCCACTGTCCCCAATCTTTCTGCAATTTTAACAACCTAGTATACCAAAATTAAATATTATTGTTGGCTGGATGAAGGTTGGATGCAGCCTTAAATGTAATATATATTTTATTATTGCTTCCATTTACATAGCGCCAACAGATTCTGTATAATATAAGGGAGGGTTTAACTATAAATAGGACAATTACAAAAACCATACAGGACCAATGGGTTGAAGAGGACCCTGGTTCAAACAAGCTTACAGTCTATAGGAGATGGGGTATAAAACACAATAGGACAGGAAATGGCAATCAAATAAGGGATGAGTGAAGGAGAACTGGAGGAGAGAGTAGAGTGCTGCCCTTTAGGAGAGAGCAAGGGACAGGTATGGGAGGTAGAGGTTACTCTGGAAGGCCATAAGTTTTCTTACAGAGATGGGCTTTAAGGAACTTAAACGATGGAAGACTAGGAGAGAGACTGAGGACATCGATGAATACAAAAATGTGTATTATGACATTCTCAGAATCCCTGGCCCTATCTTATAGTTAGGATAGCCTTATGCCTATCCCACGCATGCTTAAACTCCTTTACTGTGTTAACCTCTACCACTTCAGCTGGAAGGCTATTCCATGCATCCACTGCCCTCTCAGTAAAGTAATACTTCCTGATATTATTTTTAAACCTTTGTCCCTCTAATTTAAGACTGTCCTCTTGTTGTGGTAGTTTGTCTTCTTTTAAATATAGTCTCCTCCTTTACTGTGTTGATTCCCTTTATGTATTTAAATGTTTCTATCATATCCCCCCTTGTCTTTCCTCCAAGCTATACATGTTAAGATCCTTTAACCTTTCCTGGTAAGTTTTATCCCGCAATCCATGAACCAGTTTAGTAACCCTTCTCTGAACCCTCTCTAAGGTATCAATATCCTTCTGAAGATACGGTCTCCAGTACTGTGTACAATACTCCAAGTGAGGTCTCACCAGTGTTCTGTACAATGGCATGAGCACTTCCCTCTTTCTACTGCTAATACCTCTCCCTATACAACCAAGCATTCTGCTAGCATTTCCTGCTGCTCTATTCCATTGTCTGCCTACCTTTAAGTCATCAGAAATAATCACCCCTAAATCCCTTAACTCATAATGAAAGTATTTAGAAAATTGGGTAGACTAAATGGGCTGAATGGTTCTTATCTGCCGTCACATATGTTTCTATGTCAGAGGGCTGCCCATGTACACAGCGCTGGTGGAGCGTGGGCTGTCCGGAATATCCGGAAGTATTACTTTACTGAGAGGGTAGTGGATGTATGGAATAGCCTTCCAGCTGAAGTGGTAGCGGTTAACACAGTAAAGGAGTTTAAGCATGCGTGGGATAGGCATAAGGCTATCCTAACTATAAGATAAGGCTAGGGACTAATGAAAGTTTTTAGAAAATTGGGCAGACTAGATGGGCCGAATGGTTCTTATCTGCCGTCACACTCTATGTTTCTCTGTCAGAGGGCTGTCCGTGTACACAGCGCTGGTGGAGGGTGTCAGATGGGATTTCTGGCACACTGCTCAGAGACAGAGCTCTATAGTCGCCTAAACCAATACAGTGGTCCTCAGTGGTTATGGTGCTCTGGGTGTTACTGTGAGGCATGGGAGGTGTGAAGCAGAGGTTCCAGCTGTGAGGAACAATGTAAAATTCCCAAAAGGTCCATATCTAATTCAATGATGGCTATGGCCTGCACTGGGTCCCCACTTTATTCATTTGTGTATTTTTTAAACACTTCCCATGATGCACACCCACACTCCATCCAGCTTTTCACAGAGACATCTAACTCTGGCATTCTGTATAATCTACATTTGTTTAACACCAGCGCGGTTCAAGACTCGTTTTCATATAGCCACGCCCATTCCACATTTTTTGATTGGGCTCTGCGGGGATAGTTACTGTATCACCATTGGTTGTCGTTCTAGTGGCACGCCTCTTTCCCTGACGTTGCGGAATGTGATTGGTTGCGGCATTCTGTCCATAGATGTGGAAAGAGGGAAGGTTCTGGAAGATAAGGCCGCCATCTTGTACTGTGAAGATAACAGTAGGCGCTGTTGAAGCAGGTGAGAGACTGATCGGCCTTTTAAGATGGGAGCGAAATATAAACACCGCCTTCACTTGGTATCACATGCACGGTGTCACTATGTCTGACACCAGACTATTATATGAACACACAGCGGGATAAACATCCGGCTCCAGCTCTCTGTGGGAGTCGCTGTCACCCGGACTAGTCCGTATTTACCAATGGGGAGCGTTACCCCCTCACTCTGCACTGCATCCGGGACATGGCTCCTAGCCGCGTTATAACTCACTGCCTTATATTATAATATGATCCTAGCTCTCACTGTTATATTATAATATGATCCTAGCTCTCACTGGCGCGTTATAACTCACTGCCTTATATTATAATATGATCCTAGCTCTCACTGTTATATTATAATATGATCCTAGCTCTCACTGCTGCGTTATAACTCACTGTTATATTATAATATGATCCTAGCTCTCACTGCTGCGTTATAACTCACTGTTATATTATAATATGATCCTAGCTCTCACTGGCTGCTGCCTTATATTATAATATGATCCTAGCTCTCACTGGCTGCGTTATAACTCACTGCCTTATATTATAATATGATCCTAGCTCTCACTGGCTGCGTTATAACTCACTGTTATATTATAATATGATCCTAGCTCTCACTAATATGATCCTAGCTCTCACTGACTGCGTTATAACTCACTGTTATATTATAATATGATCCTAGCTCTCACTGGCTGCGTTATAACTCACTGTTATATTACAATATGATCCTAGCTCTCACTGGCTGCGTTATAACTCACTGCCTTATATTATAATATGATCCTAGCTCTCACTGGCTGCGTTATAACTCACTGTTATATTATAATATGATCCTAGCTCTCACTGGCTGCGTTATAACTCACTGTTATGTTATAATATGATCCTAGCTCTCAGCGTTATAACTCACTGTTATATTACAATATGATCCTAGCTCTCACTGCTGCGTTATAACTCACTGTTATATTACAATATGATCCTAGCTCTCACTGCCTTATATTATAATATGATCCTAGCTCTCACTGGCTGCGTTATAACTCACTGCCTTATATTATAATATGATCCTAGCTCTCACTGGCTGCGTTATAACTCACTGTTATATTATAATATGATCCTAGCTCTCACTGGCTGCGTTATAACTCACTGCCTTATATTATAATATGATCCTAGCTCTCACTGGCTGCGTTATAACTCACTGCCTTATATTATAATATGATCCTAGCTCTCACTGGCTGCGTTATAACTCACTGCCTTATATTATAATATGATCCTAGCTCTCACTGGCTGCGTTATAACTCACTGCCTTATATTATAATATGATCCTAGCTCTCACTGGCTGCGTTATAACTCACTGTTATATTATAATATGATCCCACCTCTCACTGGCTGCGTTATAACGCACTGTTATAATATGAACCTAGCTCTCACTGGTTGTGTCTGTCAGACTCAGTAAGCATTATGGTCCATGTTTACATTACTAACCTGCCTTGTGTGAGGATTTGGGGGAATTTGTTTTATATATTATGGAGAGGGTGAATCTGTATCCATTTGTGTTGTGTGTTAACGTAAGGGCACTGTCTGCTAAGGAAGGCCGATGGTCGTTTGAGAAACCGTTTTGAAACTGCATAAATCAGGAATGCATTAAATAAAAATTGTTGTATTCGTTTAATATTGGTTCCAGTTTTGTGCCCATGTACTATTTTCTTATGTGTTACATTATCACTTCGCCTGTTATCCAGTGGTAACTTTTTATTTACTTATTCTCCTTTTCTGTAATCTGCCATTAAAGGCTGTCTTTATGCCACTTTTTATTCTCCTCTCTTGTACACTTTGATTTTGTTTTTCTAATAATATTTTTTGCATTGTTAAACTCAAAATAATTACTCAAATTAATGTTGTTAGGAAAATTATGCCTTCAGAATTTGAAGAGTTATGTAGTGGTTCTGGTGCCTATAATCAGTCCATGCAGGCTTTTCAGAGAAAATGCAGTGTTTACTTTGCTGCCTAGTGACACATCTGTGGCAGTCACTCAGACAGTCACTGGAGGTGTTATCTAGTCCACTGTGTTCAGCGCCTCCACACTGCATGGAGGCACCGAATGTTCCCCAGAGAGATGCATTGATTCAATGTACAATATCCTCCTGCTTTATTATGGGAATGTATTGGATTGGTTGTGATGAACAAGATTGATTACCTCAACCATGGATGGGTGGGAGAAGAATTTAGTAAAATTACCAAATTTTACTAACTTCATGACGTAAAGTCTTGATTTTATTAAGGACACGGAGGCGAGTATTAGGCTTTATCTCTTTCTTTATTCCTTGGCAGCAAAGAAAGGATATTGAAATATTCAGAGAAAAAACAAATAACGTACCTAACGGGTTAAATACACTATAAACATATTACCCAATGATAATGCTCCTTGCACCATAATGTCCCATGTGACCATAACCCACTCCTCTTTCTTGATGATACTGATGAATATCCCATCAAAACAGAACCGGAGACTTAATCAACCGTGGAGAATAAACTGTGCTCCCGAACAATGGAACCGTAGAAATTGAAGGAACTGTAGAACAATGCTCCCACTTTCCATGAACCAACTTGTATCGATGTAGGATTCCAATCAAGAGGCTGGAAGAAACAGAGATATACGTGGTAAAATATGATCAGAGAGAGAGAGAGAGAGAGAGAGAGTGTGTGTATGTATGTATGTATGTATGTGTATATGTGTGTGTATATATATATATATATATATATATATTACACACACACGATTTTTGACTAACATCTGTCGTTTAAACATAATCCCAAATTGGAGTAAACAAACGTCCTCAACAGTGTCATGAAGTTATATGCCCATTAGGGACTTGGGTATGGCGCAACTTGCCATGTCTGGGTGGGATAATACTCGCCTCTGTATCCTTAATAAAATCATGACTTTACCTCATGAAATTAGTCAAATCTGGTAATTTTATTAAAGGACACGGAGGCTCATATTATGCTAGTTCAAAGCTGTGTTACCACCGTAGAAAAAAAATGTGGAGTTGGCCAAAAATAGAACTCCTGAAACGTAGATTCTCAGGACCAATCAGCAGCATGTAGGAGATTACCCAGTCTACATCCCAACGCAAAGGCTTTAGATGCCATAGCATCTCTAACAGAGTGTGCTCCGTACATGGACGTGTCAATGCCAGCTGACATCAGAATCCATCTATACATTGTAACTGTGGAAGTCGAAGAGATATAAATAAATTCGTGTATGAATTGTCCTGTACTGAGGATGTCCTGTCTTCATATTCATTCAGGCAATCCACCGGACATAGGTTGATATTGTGCGGGAATGCCGGACCACAAAACGAAGAGATGGATGTCTTAGTACGTCCCATGATGTTAAAGGTGACGCCATCTGGAGCAAAAGAATGTGTTGTAATATCCAGTGCCTGAGCATCTGAGACTCGATTACAAGAAATTAAACAGAATAACATGACCAGCTTAGCCGTGAGTTGTTTGAGTGAAAGGTCTGAATGTTCTGAAGCCAACTATCAAACAATCTGAGGACAATGTTAACATCCCACACCGATGAATATTTAGGGAGAGGTGGTTGTGCAAACCTGATGCCACGAAGTAGTCGACACTATAAGGGGTGTTGCCTACTGGGGATCCATTCCAACCTTGGTGTCTTGCAGATCTATAGATATTCACCGTACAGTAGGTCAATCCGCGTTCGAAAAGTACAGTAAGGAAACTCAAAACGTGATTCACAGGTGTAGATAAGGGATCCAGTTTTCATTCCATGAGTTCCAGGCATGGAGATATGATTTCTGTGTTCCTAGAGCCCAAGCTCCTGCCAAGAGGTCCCTAGTTGTTTGTGAAACTTATGTGAGGAGACTGAATCCCCGTAGTGGAATCAAGCCAATAGCTTGAGCTGTCCTTGGAGTATAAGTGGATGACCGTTCCCATCTAGATGAATCAAAAGGTCTGAGGATGTCGGGAGTAACCTTTGGTAATCTATTGACATATCCAGGAGTGTAGGGAAACCACGGTTGAGTCGTCCAAAACGGGGCAATGAGAATCAGTTAACGTCTGAGATGAAGTGTCCGGGCAATCAGAGAAAATGGAGGGAAAGCGTGATCTGACGCCAGGGCTTCCGGATCAGGTCTCCAGCTGAAAAACTGGTAGTTGGGCATTCAACCGTGATGCGAAAAGGTCGATGTCTAGGGGTCCCCACAGTGCCTGCAGGCGAAGAAATACAAAAGGATTCAGCTGCCAATCGCTGGTATCCCTCAAGTACCTGGAATTCCAATCTGCCCCCACGTTGGACGTTCCGAGGATATACTCCACTCGTATCAAGATGTTGTGGTGCAGGCAGAAATGCCAGAATTCCTACGCTAGTTCCGCCAAGACTAGTGATTTTGTGCCCCCGAGGTGGTTGATTTAACGCACCGCTGATACGTTGTCCATCTGTAACACGAGGAAGCAGTTGGTTGATACAGCTGGGAGGTTTCGCAGGGCAAACGAACCCACTAGCCATTCGAGGCAATTGATATGCATGGTCTTTTCTTCCATGGACCATTTCCCACATGTGTAGGTAGGACCGCAGCGCGCCCCAGCCGAGCATACTTGCATCTGATTCTATTGTGAAGTCCGGGTAGTGCCGAAGATTGCTCGTCCGTTCCACGCCTCCATGTGTTGCAGCCATCACTGGAGTTCCTCTCTGGATGGACAGTCGAGAGGAACAGAGTCTGAGTAGGATTGACCCTAGAGTAGGTGTTTGGCCTTCAGGTGTTGAAGTGCCCTGTAGTGGAGTGGGCCAGGGAACGTCTCTTGGATCGATGCTGAGGAGACCAATGATTATGGCTAGTTGCCTAGGGATCCGGACCGGATGGAGGGTGGTAGAAGTGTCACACATGGAGTCTATGGTGAAACCTAGGAATTCTATAGATTGTGGAGGTTCGGTGATTAATTTTTTCCCAGTTGATGAGGAAACCCAGGTTGTGCATGAGGGAAATCCTCTAATGCAGATGTTTCTGAAGTTGATGAGGGTCCTGTGCCATCAGGAGTATATCATCTAGATATATTATTAGGCAAACCCCTCTGCTGCGTAGCAGCGCAACCACTGGCTTCATACGTTTTGTAAAACACCATCGTGCCGAAAAAAAAACAAATGGGAGGCAGTTGAATCGCCACATGGTCCGTTCTCATTGGACTTGGAGATATTGTTGGCAGTCCTCTGCCATTGGTATGGTGAGATAGGCGTTTTGTATGTCGAGTTTGACCATCCTGTCCCCTGAGGGGAGAAGATCTCGGAGGGAGTGTATACCTTCCATTTTGAAGTGGTGGTATGTGACAAATGCGTTCAGTGGTCGAAGATTTATGACTGGTCGAACACCTCCCCCTTTTTTGGGGACCAGGAAGATATTGCTCAAGAAACTGAGTCTGGGGTGGAATTTCCCGAATTGCACCTTTTGGATGCTAGGGATTGAATTTCTTGTGACACCAAGCCCCGGTCGTGGGTAGAGAACACTATACGGTTTGGGAGGGACCACTGAACGGGGTGTTGAACAAAATCTATAGAATATCCCATGACCGTATGGAGGACCCAAGCATCTGAGGTTAACATGTGCCAAGCATGTGCAAATCTTTTCAATCTGCCCCCCACCATAGGTATAGTAGAAATATTGATCTTACCATAAGGCCGTCAGCCATAGGAAGAACCTCTGTGTCCACACGCCTGTCAAGTTCTGCCACGAACTTGGAAGAACGGTGAGGCGGACTTTTGTTCAGGTGGTTGAAACCTGGCATGCACAGAGGCTCGGGATCCACATGAGGAACGGCCGGGCAGACGGCCCCGATATCTGCCGGCGCCACCAAAAACTCTGAGAGAACACTCTTTTCATGTTGGCTTGCGCCGTATCGAGTGCTGTGAATGTCCCTACGTATGTGTCTAACTCCTTCATGAAGTTGTCCCCAAATAAAAGCCCTTAAGACTGCGCTCCAGGCTCTGAGATCGCAAGGTTTACTAACTTTGGGTCTATTTTCATCAAAATAGACTTGCGTCTCTCCGTGGCCACTGCCAAATTAGCATTACCCAGTAGGCACCCACATCTTTGTACACAGCCCCTGATGGCCATTAAGTCAGCAGGGGCACTCCCAGCCAATGCCATTTCGACCTTGTGGAAAATCTTGGCACTTGATCCCAGAGCGTCCAGGATTATGTCCTGGCAGCTTCGCAAGGAGAAATCCAGGCCTTTTTTGGCCTTCAATCCTGTTTTGCCAAGAAATTGGGCTATTTTAAGATCCACGTCTGGCATGGTACGGGCCATATCGGGGAGATTGGGACGTGGGCATTCCGCCCTAAAGTTTATTCTGTGCCTCTTTAAGTGGTTTCCTTATACATGCGGCAGCGTACTTAGCCATGTGGCCCAAAGGGTACCACTCCGAAGAACATGGATACTGTAAGCTGTCCGGATCAAAGAGTGGTTCGCCTTGAGGATCCAGAAGGGCGGAGTCATCCACCCTAGCCCTGGCATCATTGCCAGGACCTGACAAGGGGCTGTGGTCAGGCAAATCTGTGCCGGAATCATAGGCGTCCTCATCGGACTTGCTCGGTGCCTCTTGTTCCAATTCAGAGTCGGAAGATTCTCTGAGGGCATTTGCCCTCTTTTCCAGGTCCTCACCGATTTTTCCTGGTGGGGGGGATCTCTATTGTGGTGTAACCACATTCTTAGTGACTGGACGTACCCTGTCCGTCTTGAGAGTTTTGGAAGACTCAACGTCTATATGACAGGATTTCTTAGCGGATTTACACCCACTAGGGTCTACCGACTTACTCTCCAGGTGGTTTAGAGCCATTAGGGCAGGTGGTCTGTAGGCGGACAGTAGGGCCCGAGTGATGGCGCGTGACAGGGTATCCATTCTCTTTAATGTTTTTATTAGTGATATTGCAGAAGGTTTTGATGGTAAGGTATGTCTTTTTGCTGATGATACTAAGATATGTAACAGGGTTGATGTTCCAGGAGGGATAAGCCAAATGTCAAATGATTTAGGTAAGCTAGAAAAATGGTCAGAGTTGTGGCAACTGACATTTAATGTGGATAAGTGCAAGATAATGCATCTTGGACGTAAAAACCCAAGGGCAGAGTACAGAATATTTGATAGAGTCCTAACCTCAACATCTGAGGAAAGGGATTTAGGGGTGATTATTTCTGATGACTTAAAGGTAGGCAGACAATGTAATAGAGCAGCAGGAAATGCTAGCAGAATTCTTGGTTGTATACGGAGAGGTATTAGCAGTAGAAAGAGGGAAGTGCTCATGTCATTGTACAGAACACTGGTGAGACCTCACTTGGAGTATTGTACGCAGTACTGGAGACTGTGTCTTCAGAAGCATATTGATACTTTAGACCGAGAGTTCAGAGAAGGGCTACTAAACCTGTTCATGGATTGCAGGATAAAACTTACAAGAAAATGTTAAAGGATCTTGACATGTATAGCTTGGAGGGAAAACGAGACAGGGGCGATATGATAGAAACATTTAAATACATAAAGGGAATCAACACAATAAAGGAGGAGACCATATTTAAATGAAGAAAAACTACCACAACAAGAGGACATAGTCTTAAATTAGAGGGGCAAAAGTTTAAAAATATCAGGAAGTATTACTTTACTGAGAGGTTAGTGGATGCATGGAATAGGCTTCCAGCTGAAGTGATAGAGGTTAACATAGTAAAGGAGTTTAAAGGAACACTATAGTCACCCAGACCACTTCAGCTCAATTAAGTGGTCTGGGTGTCAGATCACTCAAGGGTTAACCCTGCCTGATGTAAACATAGCAGTTTCTAAGAAACTGCCATGTTTACATCTGGGGTTAAGCCAGCCTCTAGCCTCTTCCAGACAGCCACTAGAGGCGCATAGGCAATGATTGAGGCATATCAATCCATAGGAAAACATTTTTTTTTCTCTTTCTCTCTCTTTCTCTCTTTTTTTTTTTTCCTCTTTTTTTTTTTTCCTCTTTTTTTTTTTTCCTCTTTTTCCTTTCACCTTTACAAATTGTGTGCCATGATGGGCAGAATTGTCACTCCTGGGCTGCCATATGGTCTCAAAGGAAGGCCCAGTGAAATAATCTGGCAAATTTCTATGTGTAGAAACTGAAAATGGCAAGCTCTTTATTTGACCCCGTAACTTTTCAAAACACCATTAAACCTGTGGAGGAATTGTTGTAAACGGGAAACACCACAGCATACAAATGTGTTTTATTGTAGTAAAAACTAACCGTATTATTGACATGTACAACTTGGGGAAAAAAAGTTTTCATTTTATTCATATTAAATTTTTGTTCCTTAGTTGATGTGAAATGAAAGCTCTCTTATTCCTGAAAAAAAAAAAAAAAAATATATATATATATATATATATGCCCTTAATATGAAAGGAAATGCGCGCACTGGACCACCCCATAGGAAAGCATTGAATCAATACTTTCCTATGGGGAAAATCTGACACTGGATGTTCTCATGCAGACCGTGAGGACGTCCAATGTCCGTTACCTGACCAGATGTCTGTTTGGATGCAGAAAGTGCCTCCAGTGGCTGTCTGGGAAACAGCCACTGGAGGCAGACTTAGTGCAATATAAACCATTTCTGCAGTTGCTAATCTGTCACAGAATCCCATTCCTCTTACAGTGGCAGACAGATTTGTTGGAAATAAAAAACAAAACATTTTCACATACCCACTGATTTAATTTATTCTGATGATGAACTGGAAGTGGCACTTATGTGAACCAAAAAATAGCCAGAATGGAAAAAGAATAAATAAGCGCAGAAATAAATATTTTGTGCCGATAAGGAAATTTCATAAGTACCAGAAAAACAGCTTAAAAAAATTAAGTTGACACTTTATATAACCCCCAAAGTAAGTGTGGCCTGTGAAGCATGTTTGTGCAGTTATAAATACCATTGCTGTATTGGTTGGGGTGCAGGAGTGGCCTGGCTTAATTTATTTGAAATTATTTGACATCGTACCTGAGTCCTTTAAGGACCACAAATATTGCCTGCAGTCATCAGCAAAGCACTCTCGGCTAATGAGCAAGGTGCTACTTTGTTCTCTGCACTAGCGCAATCTTGAAAGGGGTGTATTCAATGTGGGTGCTTAAAGGACCACTATAGTGCCAGGAAAACATACTCATTTTCCTGGCACTATAGTGCCTTGAGGGTGCCCCCACCCTCATGGTCCCCCTCCTGCCAGGCTCTGGGGAGAGGAAGGGGTTAAAATCTTATCTTTCTCCAACGCCGGGCAGGGAGCTCTCCTCCTCCATAGCGACATCATCGGCTGAATGTGCATGCGTGACAGGAGCCGCGCGCGCATTCAGCCAGTTGATAGGAAAGCATTTACAGTGCTTTCCTATGGATGCTGGCATCTTCTCACTGTGATTTTCACAGTGAGAAGCACGCAAGCGCCTCTAGCGACGGTCAAGAGACAGCCACTAGAGGCTGGATTAACCATATTATAAACATAGCAGTTTCTCTGAAACTGCTATGTTTATTAAAAAAAGGGTTAATCCTAGATGGACCTGGCACCCAGACCACTTCATTAAGCTGAAGTGGTCTGGGTGCCTATAGTGGTCCTTTAACAGGAACCAAATAAGTTGTCAAACTGCTAAAACAATGGGTCGTCAACAGGGCCCTCCTGTCACCATAACCTTTACAGCAGTCTGTAGTAGTTCTGGTGCTTGGTGTGCTATTTTAGAAACATAGAATGAGATGGCAGATGGCCCATCTAGTCCGACCAATTTTTTACTTTCATTAGTACCTGGCCTTATTTTATATCTAGGGTAGCCTTATGCCTATGCCACAAGTGCCTAAACTCCCTCACTGTGTTAAACTCTATCACTTCAGCTGGAAGGCTATCCATGCATATTTCCTGATATTTTTAAACCTCTGCCCCTCTAATTTAAGACTGTCCTCTTGTGGTAGTTTTTTATTATTTTTTTTTATTTTTTATAAATATACTCTCCTACTTTACTGTGCTGATTGCCTTTGGGATTTTTTTTTTTTGTTTGTTTGTTTTTAATGTTTCTATTATATCCCTTCCCTACCGTCTCGTTTTTGCTCCAACCCATACATCTTCCTTTAGCCTTTCTTGGTAAGTTTTACCTTGCAATCCATGAGCCAGTTTAGTAGCCGTTCTCTGAACGCTCGCCAAAGTATCAATATCTTTATGGAGATAGTTAATACAATGTTAAACAAAAGTCTGCACACCAGATACATATATAGAGTACAATACTTCAAGGGACACTATAGTCACCTGAACAACTTTAGCTTAATGAAGCAGTTTTGGTGGAGAGAACATGCTACTGCAGCCTCACTGCTCAATCCTCTGCCATTTAGGAGTTAAATCCCTTTGTTTATGAACCCTAGTCACACCTCCCTGCATGTGACTTGCACAGCCTTCCATAAACACTTCCTGTAAAGAGAGACCTATTTAGGCTTTCTGTATTGCAAGTTCTGTTTAATTAAGATTTTCTTATCCCCTGCTATGTTAATAGCTTGCTAGACTCTGCAAGAGCCTTGTGTATGTGATTAAAGTTCAATTTAGAGATTGAGATACAATTATTTACGGTAAATGACATCTGTTTAAAAGTGAAACTTTTTTTTTTTTTTTTTTTCATGCAGGCTCTGTCAATCATAGCCAGGGGAGGTGTGGCTAGGGCTGCATAAACAGAAACAAAGTGATTCAACTCCTAAATGACAGTGAATTGAGCAGTGAAATTGCAGGGGAATGATATATACACTAAAACTGCTTTATTTAGCTTAAGTAATTTAGGTGACTATAGTGTTCCTTTCAAGTAAGGTCTCACCAGTGCTTTGTACCATGGCATGAGCACTTCCCTTTTTCTGCTTCTAATACCTCTCCATATAGAATCAAGCATTCTGCTAGCATTTCCTGCTGCTCTGTTAAATTGTCTGATTTCCAGCTTTCAGTAGGCTGGAAGATAATATTGTTACCGCTATTCTCTTGGGAATATTGCAGCTGAGGTTGGTGTTTGTTGCTTTTTCCCCTCAGATTGTTTTGAGAGCGCAGCAACTATGGCATCTGATGACTTTGATATTGTGATAGAAGCAATGCTGGAAGCTCCTTACAAGAACAAAGAAAAGGAGGTATGCTTTTATTGATTTGGTATATGTATTTTGTGTTCTATCTGGATTTGGGCAAGCTAATGTGTTGGCTGTTTAGCACTTTCAGGCATTGTGTGCTCTCCATTTTTGAAATGCAATCTTTCAGTTAAACAAACAATTAAGATATAGTGGTATAACATTGTTTTGTGCACACAAGAGATTGGATATTTGGATCTATACATTGTCCTAACTAAATGTTGTTTTTGTTTTTCCATTTTATTTACAAATTGATTTTAAATCCCATGTAATTTTGTGTATAAAGCTAATTTTCCTTAAATCTAATGGGTGTTTCAATGCATATAGGCAATGTAACCCAATTTTTAAGTAAAACTGCTTAGAATCTGTTTTTTCAAGAAATACTTTAATATATTTCAGCCAGTATTAATGTAGCCATTTTTGTTCTAAAATATGCTTATTATAGTATTAATATTTGAACATCTGCTGATTAACTTTGACAACAGTATTAGGGCAATTAAATTAAGTGTTTGTTTTGTTTTTTACAATTTAAAGGAACACCATAGTGTTAGGAATACAAAACTGTGTTCCTATCAGTATAGTGCTGAATTACATGGTTGGGTGTCTGCCCCTTTTAGAATGGAGTTAAAAGGTGTATTACTTGCCTTTTCTCCATAGCTGTGCTGGTATCGTGCCGCCTCCATTGCTGAAATCCTCAATCTTGATGATCTCCGCCTATCCAATGCTTTCCCATAGGAAACCATTGGGTGGCTATTGAGCATGCTTGTAAAAAAAAAAATAAAAAAATGCAGGAACTCATCCAGGAAGTCCCTTTAGTGGCTGTCTAAGTGACAGCCACTAGAGGTGGTGCTAGGCAGCAATGTAAACACTGCCTTTTCTGTGACAAGGCAGTGTTTATATTGCTCAGCCTGCAGGGACAGGCTATAGACAGCATAACCACAACTAGTGACTATTGTGCCACTTTTTAAGGAAGTGATTCACGGTAACTGATACCTCTCTTGAATTTGGATATCTTGTGCTATTGTCTGAACTTAAAGGGTTACTGCAACCCTTTTCGGCTGCTTTGTTTTTTGTTTTTTTTTGCGAACAATACCCTATTGGGCATTATTCCTCCGACCCCTCTACAGGCTCTGAAAAAAGGCAATCAAATAAGCTATTATTGATACTGAATGCAATGCCGGGCGAAGCTCCTGTGTGATGTCATACAGGCAGCACAAGGTCCAATCAAAGGATTTTCATAAAGAAGCCTTTGATCAGACAATTTGGCCTGCTTAGAGTGGGGAAGATAGTAGCAGAAAAAATAAGCGTAGGGTATAGAGAAGAAGGAGGGTAAGCAAACTACAAAAAGATAATTTATGCTGGCACTCAATCACGTGGTGCTGGTATTCGAGGTTATCCCTAAAAAAGCCCCATAAATATCATACAAAAAATATATATATATATATATATATGAATACCGCACTCAATGTTGTAAAATAATCAACCGTAGGTAAAAAGGTACTGTAATTGAATTTATTATTTTTTTATTTTTTTCTTCAATGTCTAGGTATATAACTTAATATGTGAGATTATGATTTGATCAAAAGAATATATTACATCATATAGTCAATCGCTATTTACAAAAATAACCTCCATAGGTATTATATAGATAAATAATCGATATATAAACACAGTTGTAAGTATTCCTGTTTGCAAATCTAAGGAAAACCTATCCATATGGATAGTAGTTGAATCTGTGGTGTTCTATGTACATAGAAAAAAGAAAAAATGAAAAAAATGAAAGAAATTTGAAAAAATATAAAAAAATAAAAAATAAATAAAAAGTATACATATAATAAATGTCCTGATGTACAATAGTCCAGAGAATAGTGCACTTTAGATAATAAATAGGTGGATCTCACCAAGTTGGATATCCAGATGGATTGTAGCCTTAGTAGCAACTGGAAAAAATGAAGACTCTGTGAAGAATGGAGGGTTTTTAAACCTGCTGAATTCCTGTTGTGCGCTGAAAAGAGGACTCAATAAAGGTGTCAGATGTGGTCCTCGTATCACAGGGGCCTTCGAAGGGACGTGGATGTCCCGAGCGCGCAGCCCATGTACTGTGACGGCACTCTCATTGCGGATAACTCCGATCTGATACACAGCAGCAACGACTTTGAGGGTGACATACGAGGACCAACTTGGTGAGATCCACCTATTTATTATCTAAAGTGCACTATTCTCTGGACTATTGTACATCAGGACATTTATTATATGTATACTTTTTATTTATTTTTTCTTTTTTTATATTTTTTCAAATTTTTCTTCATTTTCATATTTCTTTCATTTTTCATTTTTTTCATTTTTTCTTTTTTCTATGTACATAGAACACCACAGATTCAACTACTATCCATATGGATAGGTTTTCCTTAGATTTGCAAACAGGAATACTTACAACTGTGTTTATATATCGATTATTTATCTATATAATACCTATGGAGGTTATTTTTGTAAATAGCGATTGACTATATGATTTAATATATTCTTTTGATCAAATCATAATCTCACATATTAAGTTATATACCTAGACATTGAAGAAAAAAATAAAAAAATAATAAATTCAATTACAGTACCTTTTTACCTACGGTTGATTATTTTACAACATTGAGTGCGGTATTCATATATATATATATATATATATATATATATATATATATATTTTTTGGTAAGCAAACTACCATTGTGCATGTCTCTAGCCAACAGACAAGTTTAGTTTTTGTACCTAATTGATATTGGGCAGCCCAGGGCAGAGTCACATGTGTCGAGTGTGTAACTAGCCCCTGTCACACAATTGCAAATACCTCTGGATGTGCAGAGTTTTAAAACAGAAACACTGCACATACAGACTCCTACCACCATGTCCACCTCCATTCTCTTGGTTTTCCAGCATTGTGAGAATTTGTCATTTGAATGATGAATGAAACATTTTCACACTGCAACATATAAACCCATTAACATCGATCAACAGTCTGTCTATATTAGTAGAGTCCTGCCTGTAACATTACCTTTTTTCCTTTGCATTTGCTGGCAATCAGTTTAGACCAATGTATAGATCCATTTTTATTATTATGTAAATTAAACCAGTTGCATACAAATTGTGATTTTTGTCAATGCCTTCTTCGTGCGTATGATAAAAAATTTAGTCCCCCATAATGTTTGCACTTTGTAAATATTACTAATATCTAGGAAAACTCTGTTTATTATTTTTTCATTTAAGGCAGAAAGATATGCGTATGGAAAGCCACCACTGCAAATCTACATTTAAGGTTAAAATTAAAAGTAGAAAATCTAACAGAGCATTGTCTTAGCAATGCAGTTTAGTAAGCCTAAACTGCAATACCACATTACCAAAATAATAATAAATGTCTACAACATGCTACATGCAAGTTATCGTGTGCACTGTTGCTTTGTGATTTTTCTACTGTAATCATTACTTATTTTAAAATATTTGATATGGATGGCTTTTGTTGGTGGTTTTGTAGAATTTAGTATTCGCCACACCCCTGCCTTCTTTAAACAGACCAGTATGACATGTTCAATAACACACACTGATCCCTTTCTCTTCATTAAATCTAGTGCTCCTATCTGCCCCACCCTGCTTTTCCAAGGAAGGGCCTTGAAAACTGGTTGAAGACAAGACTACCACAGGACCAAACCAAAGACCTCTGTGTGGGGTGGATAAAACTTAATCTTGCTGGGGACATATAGCGCCTTTGCAAGCCTTTGAGTGCTAGTTAAATGTGTGCGTAAAAGCATGGTATTGCTTATCCCTCTGGCACCCTCAGTTAAGAGAGATCCCAGTGAAGAGGACTACACAGCATTACCGCTTTTACTTTTAATGCATGGCACCAAATGTAACTGTATACTGCCCCAGTTGTTTCACCCAAATTATATTCCTCTATCAATTACAGATGTTGTGTAAATTTTAATTAGACTGTTTATGGGACTCTTCCATTTAGTGCTAAATGTACCAGGAGCTTGCAAATTCTATTGTAATGGTGCCAAACTTTGTTTTAACCTCTACGAGAACAGTTTGGAGACTATACCTTATGGAATATTGTTAGGGAACAATGGGTATTAATTTAAACGGTCTCTCCATGCCTAGGTAGAAGATAAAAGTATATAAATAAAACCAAATTTCTATTCTAAATTAAACCCAATTTTGTGTTTGGTTAAAGAGTGGGTTAAAATTTACAAGCTGCAAGGGCTTACCTTGAGACCAAAGTATTTACATTTTTATTATTCTTATAATCAGTGTATTGATACCACCTATGTTAATATTTTGACATTTTTCGTCCATTCCGATGGCTACATGAATGTTGTTAATTTAAAGGGGGTGGTGGTAGCTTACTTCTCCTGGTGAATGGTGCTAGATTCAAGTAAATGATGAAAGACAGTGATTCTGTGTGTTTGCCTCACTTCTTTGCACTCATGAGTATCTTAACTGCTGGAATTGTATAGCAATGTCACCTCTGTATGTTTGCTCCAGGCCGAGGATATTGAAAAACAAGAAACGGTGGGGAAATAGCAAACTCATTATTACTAATTATTATATCAACCTCTACCACACAGGTAAGGTATTAAATGGGAGGTACACCTTGCAGACCCATCTTGTGTTTATCTTCCATATAGGCTCATCAGTTTGCCAGTTAGGATTGTAAGGTATGCAAATCTTTGTTCTGCAGAGTTGCGAAATGTTAATGTCCCACTACTGAATAGAAGCATGTGTTTGTTGATATACTGGGCTAACTACTTGTTTTATCTGTCTTTCTACTTTTTCTTGTACCCTTTTTCACCCTCTCTTCCCTCACTTTTATCTTGGACATCCCTTGTTGCTCTTATTGCTGTGTCGGCATGATCTTATTTTATATCGAACTGAATAGGAGGAAAGTCAGAACAAGGAGACTAAACAAGATCGTGAAACCAGAAGCAGTAGTCCTAGGAACAGAGGTCACAGCAGGTAAGAAAACTGTAAGCACCTAATTGTGCCTTTTATGATGCATTCCAGTCTTGGTTGTTCTCTATGCACTTGTATGTGTTGCCACCAATTCTTTTTATATTTTCAGCAGTAAGAAGAGAAGTTGTAGTCGAAGCCATGATCGTCGTAGAAGGTAACTATTAACTTTCTGTGATGTACAGCTATGTTCCCACGTCTCTGAAGAGTATAAGTTATGGCTCCATGTAGTGAAAGGCTCTGGTGTGAAGTGCCTACGCATCAGAGTTTGCACACAACGATGTCCCAATATGAACAACTGTTATGACTGCCAAAACACTCCTAGGTTAGTTCATGGGTCAAGGCAAAAGCTGCTTGTGGGTGCTTTGAATAGCAGCGGCGTAATTAGAGCTTTGCCACCCCTCTCAGCCCGGCCTCAACACTAATGCGCCAGCTGCGCTGTAAGGTATATAGTGAGCAGGGATAGGATGTGATTCATACCCCTGCCCTTTCCAAACAGCCTGTGGCATGTTTATTTGTAAGTAGTGTTAGCATTGGAATGCTGTTGTTTATTTGTGTGCAGTGTTAGCGTTGGAATGCAGGGGTGTATTTGTGTGCAGTGTTGGTGTTTGAATGCAGGGGTGTATTTGTGTGCAGTGTTAGCGTTTGAATGCAGGGGTGTATTTGTGTGCAGTGTTGGCGTTTGAATGCAGGTGTGTACTTGTGAGCAATGTTGGCATTGGAATGCAGGGGTGTATTTGTTTGTAGTGTTGGGGTTTAAATACTGGGATGCTACATTGCCACACATAAATGCACATGCACTCAGAATCACACAGGTACACACACATAATTTGACACACAGGTATGTATTATTATTATTTATATAGCACCAGCAAATTCCGTAGCGCTGTACAATGTACAACCTCAAATACACACAGAGCCAGGTACACATACACATAAATGAATAAAGAGCAATTCACATATTTTGACTACCTTCCTGTTTCCTTAATTTTTGATTGCAGAGGGGTGACTTTCCTGGAGTCCAGTTGGAGCTGTCTGACCTAAGCTTATGGGAGTCTGAGACTCCAGGCTGCCTCAGCCCCTCTCCTCCTCCTTTTTTTTACCTCACTCTCCTCCCCACTGTTTGCTGGGAGAAAGTGAACGGAACTCATTAACTTCCTCCTTGCATGCTGTGGGGGAACTCACGAGGTGACAGGGGCCCAGTGCAGTATTAACCCATTATTGACCAGACCATTTTTTAATTTTCTTACTGTTAAGGACTAGGGCTGTTTTTACATTTCTGCGGTGTTTGTGTTTAGTTGTAATATTCTCGCCGTTAAATGGCCTTTCTAAAGATACCATTATTTTAATCATATCATATAATTTATTATAAATTTTTTTTTTTTATAAAATATGATAAAAAAATAAACTGTTTCTAACTTTGACCCCCAAAATCTTACACATCTACAACTGCCAAAAAACACTCGTGCTAAATAGTTTCTAAATTTTGTCCTGAGTTTAGAAATACCCAATGTTCACATGTTCTTAGCTTTTTTTAGCTATAAGTACAAGTAGGACATTGCTGTTTCACACATATCTTTTTTAAATTTAATCAGTAGTGACATTGTAACAGTGTTATCTGTCATAAATCTCTGAATCCCACCTCACATGTAGATATTTTTTGAATATGGCATTCAATATGGGGTATGTCCAGTCTTTTTTAGGAGCCACTTAGTCACAAACACTGGCCAAATTTAGCATTAATATTTGTTTGTGAGTTAAAATGCAAAAAACAATTATGAACGCTAACTTTGGACAATGTTTGTGACGCTACCTTGGGTTGTCTTCTTTTGCAAATGGTATGCCATCATGGAGGTAATTCTCATTCCTGGGCTTCCATACACTCTTAAAGGCAACATAACCAATCTGGCAAATTTCAATGTGAAAAAACAGAAAATCGAACCTTATATTTGACCCTGTAATTTTCAAAAATACGTGTGTGTGTGTTTTTAGTCCAGTGGATAAGATGCCAAAATACCAGAGTATTGCTGTATGCAATACCTTTTTTTTTTTATTATTTTTTTTTATTGGACTAACATAATATTTAAAAGACAAGCTTTTGAGAATTTCCTCTCTTCCTTAGGTCTGAAGCAATACTGATCAATCTGAAAGAAATTAACACTTAAAATAACTGATGTTAGAGAGGGGGGTGAGAGAGGTGTCATAAATAACAGATGATGTGCATGAAAGTGAAAGGATCAGGTTGGCTAAGAATAGCCAGAAAAACTAAGTAAACAGAGGAGATTCAATAAGCTAGTTAATGAGAACAAAAACAAGAAAACAGCAGATCAGGGCATGCAATTATATAGTTGCATATAATTATGTATAAAAATTGATCCAATAAAGGTAAAACAAGATTATTGAAAAAGAACTATGTAAGACATTAAAATGTGGGTTTATAAAAAGTTTTGGTAGCATGAGAAAAAGCAGGAATCTACATTAAAGGACCACTATAGGCACCCAGACCACTTCAGTCCATCTAGGATTAACCCTTTCTCTGAAACTGCTATGTTTACCTGTGGGTTAATCCAGCCTCTAGTGGCTGTCTCATTGACAGCCACTAGGGGCACTTCCGTGCTTCTCACTGTGATTTTCACAGTGAGACGACGCCAGCGTCCATAGGAAAGCATTGAGAATGCTTTCCTATGGACTGGCTGAATGCGCGGCTTGTGCCGTGCATGCGCATTCAGCTGATGACTGGGGAAAGGAGGCGGAGAGTCACCACCGCTGAGGGAGCCCCCCCCCCTTCTCTAACATCAGTTGTTTTAAGTGTTAAACTCTTTCAGATTGATCAGTATTGCTTCAGACCTGGGGAAGAGAGGAAAATCTCAAAAGCTTGTCTTTGAAATATTATGTTGGTCCAATAAAAAAAAAGGTATCATTGCATACTGCAATACTCTGGTATTTTGGATGGAGATAGAGATATATATATTTTTCGTTTATTAGAGGACCACTATAGGCACCCAGACCACTTCAGATTAATGAAGTCGTCTGGGTGCCTGGTCCAGCTAGGGTTAACCTTTTTTTTTTATTTTTTTTTTATTTATTTTTTAATAAACATAGAAAACTGCTATGTTTACACTGAGGGTTAATCCAGCCTCTAGTGGCTGTCTCATTGACATCCGCTAGAGGCGCGTGCGTGCTTCTCACTGTGAAAATCAGTGAGAAGATGCCAGCGTCAATGCTTTCCTATGAACTGGCTGCCGCGCATGCGCATTCAGCCGATGACGTCGCTAGGAAGGAGGAGGAAAGCTCCCCACCCGGCGCTGGAGAAAGGTAAGATTTTATCCCCTTCCTCTCTCCAGAGCCCGGCGGGAGGGAGACCCTGAGGGTGGGGACACCCTCAGGGCACTATAGTGGTCCTTTTAACTTTTTTATTTTACACATGCAAGGATACTGCCTGTCAGTTCAGGCAGCACCATAGACTATGGCGGCCATGTGAACGCTCTTTCAGAGCGATCACATGGCCCGCAGCATCCTAATTTGCCAAGGGGAGACTGTTTGGGCTGTCAGACAGTTCCTCCAGACGGAGAGGAACACAGATCGCCGGCGGGGGAACGGCGGCAGTCAGGTAAGTAAGTTGGAATGTATGCTCGTTCAAGCAGGGTCCTCAACTACCTATTGTTCCTGTTGCATTTTGTTATTGTCTCATTTTGTGAATTCCCCTTTTATTGTAAAGCGCTGCGGAATAAGCTGGCACTATATAAACACCAATAATAATAATTGGAATGCCACGGACGTACTAGGTACGTCCGAGGTGCTTAAGGACCGTTTTTGTCGGACATACCTAGTACGTCCGAGGTTGGGATGGGGTTAAAGGTCCTCAGCCTTTGATTACTTCTCTGATGATAGCATTTTTTTTAAAATAAACTTTCATTTTTAACTCTCATTCATAACTGCTTTGTAATTTAAAAAACAAATATTTGTTGAGTGCAATTTCTCGAAATGAAAATGTATGTACTAGTTTATTTTAGTTCCTTAAACTCTCACCTCATGCTTTCAGCCGTAGCCGTAGTAGAGATCACTACAGGCGCCGTAGTAGCAGAGACAGACACAGAAGCCATGAGCGTCGTCACAGAAGCAGGAGCAGAGGGAGACATTATGACTCCAGAAGCCGTGACCGGCGTAGGGAAGAGCGATCCAGACACCGCAGCCCTGGGTAAACCTTTAGACACAACATTTTTGCCAAGAAAATAGATTTAGAAATCTATCAAGAAATCTGTCCGGTTTTATAGTAGTGATGTTCTGTGAGTACTAGGGGTATCTTAGTCTACTGGTTGTATAGGCTATATATGGTTATGGTGCATTGAGTGTCTATTGTGTATTGATGTATGTGAACATCTTAAATAAGTTGCTTTCGTCTGTTGTAGACGTCGATATACCCGTAGCAAGAGCCGAAGCCCTCGATACAGGGAGAAGACCCCTATCAGGTATTAAAATTCCTGTGGTAAAATCACTGATGATATGGAGAATATCTGAGCAGTTATGTAGTTTAGATTTTTATCACTGTAATTGTCAAACAAACTTTAAAAAAGTAAAATAATTCATAACACCATATGTAAGGGAGAAAAGTGTAAAACCTAAAATTGCAGAAATACATTGTGAAAGTGCTAAACAAACAAAAAGTACTTTCTGGGCTTTAACCATACCTATTGCCTGCATCAACTTAAAGTTTTGTACGCATAACAATATTTAAAACATTTTTTTGGTTTTATATATATATATATTTATATATATTATGTTTGTTTGTGGTTTTTTTTTTAAATCCGTTCCTAAATGGAACTTTCATTCAGTACCTGTCCCGATGCTGATGAAAATTACGTTGAGGAACTGAAATGTTGATGTCTCTGACAGTAAAAGAACAACATTGATTATAAAGACAAGAGTGTCTGTATTTTCTAAATTAGGTATTTACAGTGTTATGTGGCACTGGGTTTATTTTTCTGACTGGAGGTTGGAGCGCAAAAGTTTGTGTGTGTGTATGTATATATGTATTTTTTTCAACAAGTGCACTCACAGGTCTTTTGCAATAATCCTTTTTATTATGTAAACAACAAATACACCGCGGTTCTGTCGACGTTTCAGTCCACACAGGACTTTTTTCAAGACAGGTGTAAACACCATAATAATCAATTAACCCCTTCAGGACAGAGTCAATAGTGCACGTTCTGATCAAAACAAAACGTAAACAAAAACTGGAATTTGCGCTAAATGTCTGTTCAACCATAATTCACCGCTGTCACATTAAGTGCACCCACACTTATTATAAATCATTTTGTTCAGGAGAAACAGGGCTTTAATTTATCATTAACTATTCATATATTAAACATAATTTATTATGAATAAAATTTTTAAAAAGTGAGAAAATAACATTTTATTTTTTTTAAATTTGTATTTCCGTCTGACATTTTAGCTGTGAATGTCATAATACTGTTGGGTTTTACTGCAAAAAATGCACATATTTGTAATCAGCGCTGTCTCACGAGTACAACAGTACCCCCCATTAACAGGTTTTATGGTGTTTTGGAAAGTTACAGGGTCAAATATAGAACATTCCATTTTCAAATTGAAATTTGCCAGGTTAGTAATGTTACCTTTGAGACGGTGTGGTAGCCCAGGAATGAGAATTACCACCATAATGGCATACCATTTGAAAAAGTAGACAACCCAAGGTATTAAAGGGGAGTATGTCCAGTCTTTTTTAGTAGCCACTTACTCACAAACACTGGCCAAAGTTAGCGTTCATATTTGTTTTTGTGTGAAAAAAGCAAAAAACTAATATTTGGCCAGTGTTTGTGATTAAGTGGCTACTAAGAAAGACTGGACATACCCCACTTGGGTTGTCTAGTTTTGCAAATGGTATGCCATCATGGGGGTAATTCTCATTCCTGGGCTTCCATACGCTCTCAAAGGCAACATAACCAATCTGGCAAATTTCAATGTCAAAAAAATGAAATGCAAGCCTTATATGTGACTCTCTAACTTTCCAAAACACCATAAAACCTGTACATGGGGGGTACTGTTATTCTCGGGAGACTTCACTAAACACAAATAGTAGTGTTTTAAAACAGTAAAACATATTACAACAATAATATAGTCCATAAAAGTGCAGTTCGTTTGTAAAAAATGCAAAAAATTTCACTTTTACTTAAAATATCATCGTTGTAATACAATTTACCAGTATGAAACACTAATATGAGTTCAGCGAAGTCTCCTGAGTAAAACAGTATCCCATGTACAGGTTTTATGGTGTCTTGGAGAGTTATAGGGTCAAATCTAATGCTTGCGAATTAAATTCTCTGCACTTTCTCCCTGTGTTGTCAGGCATGTCAATCAAATTTTAACTAATCAAATCACATTATTATGTTAAAAGATTACTTAAATATATATGTAGAATTTTAATATACATGCATTTATAGGTATTTAAATTCTACGTGTATACTAATGTAATCTTTTATGTAAAAAAAAATATATATATATTTTTATTATTTTGGCGGTTATTTGTATATATATAGAGATATATATATATATATATATATATATATATATATAGAATGTAATTCTAAGTGTATTTTGTCACTATATATATATATATATATATATTATTGTAATTAGACGTGTGTGTATATATAATATATGTGTATATATCTATTATATATATATATATATATATATATCTATTATATATGTAACGTCATTCTAAGTGTATTTTAATAGTCATATATGTAATATTATATATATGTAACGTCATATATGTAATATTACATAACGGGTTAAGTAGGTAAGGTGCACGTAAAATAGACGTGGTTTGTGATGTAAAACACGGTAGTGACGTGAAGTGCAGTGAATAGGAACTCCCTCAAATATTCAACAGCAAGTCTCAAGTATATAACTTACACTAATCTTTTAAAAGTGCAAATAAAGTGATGCAGGACGTTGTTGAGGGTTTACAAATTCATCCCATATGGTCCAAATTTTGTTATGAGGACCAGATACCCTGAACAGTTGCAATAATCTGATCTATGAGCTTTATGACTGTAACCTGTGGCATAGTGGGCAGTTCTTGCTTAAGCCAGTTAACAGCTGTATATCTTCTGTCTGCTAGGGTTATTTTATCAAAAAGCTTTTGTCAGCTGTTGGGTAGAACCTTTATAGGCCAGGATTATATGTAGGAGCAAGAGTCAAACTCAGTCAGTCTCTGAAAAACTCTGCCCATGAAGCTTTTGACTTGTCAAAATGTGCATAAAGGTCCCCCTGTGACTGTACCGACTAACACTGGTCACTAGTGGTTAATTTTGTAAAACTCTCATTCTACATTCTCTCATCCTAGGGAACCAGAGAACACTTTGACCCCAGAAGAACGTGATGCACGTACTGTGTTCTGTATGCAGCTGGCTGCACGCATCCGTCAACGAGACCTGGAGGATTTTTTCTCTGCAGTTGGCAAGGTGAGAAGCTATATGTTGGAAAAAAGAAAGTCTGTAGTATTTTGGCACTTTTTGACCTAATTGTCTTTTTAAATTTAATTGCCTTTTAGGTACGAGATGTGAGAATCATTTCAGACCGGAACTCGCGCAGATCGAAGGGGATTGCCTATGTGGAGTTCTGTGACATACAGTCTGTGCCACTTGCCATTGGTCTCACTGGACAGAGATTGCTAGGTGTACCCATCATTGTGCAGGCCTCACAGGTAAAGGCTAAAGCTATAATTAAAATAAAAAATAAAGTAACGCAATTTAATGGTTTGCCTGTAGTTAAAGTTAACAGCCAAATGGTTTGTTTAGAGAGTTTACTCACACAGGGTGTTAAAAGGACTCAACGCTGGATATAACCAGCTTTATTAAAGTGCTAGAATGCATTAAAGAATATATAAAAAATATATTGGCATCTAATTTTCCTGTATTTCTGCATAACTCTAGGTTCTGCAGGTTTTTCCACGGAAATCTCCAAGGCTAAAATAAACTGCAATATGGAAGGCACATATAGTGAAAACACAAGATCTTGTAACTGATATAGATATACCGTATATACTAGAGTATAAGTCGACCCGAATAGAAGTTGAAACTCCTAATTTTACCCCCAAAAACTGGGAAAACTTAGTGACTCGAGTATAAGACTAGGGTGGGAAATGCAGCAGCTACTGGTAAATTTCTAAATAAAATTAGATCCCCAAAAAATTACATTCATTGAATATTTATTTTGTGTATATAATGAATGCAGTGTGTGTGTGTGTGTGTGTGTATATAATGCAGTGTGTGTATAATGCAGTGTGTGTGTGTGTGTGTGTGTATGAATGCAGTGTGTGTAACCTTGGTGGGGGGGTGGGCATTTTTTTTTTTTTTTTTTTTTTTTAATATTTTTTATATTTTATATATATATATATAATATTTTTTATTTTAAAAATTAATTATATTATTTACATTTTTATTTATATTTTTTGTCGCCTCCCCTGCTTAATACATGGCCAGGGAGGAGGGCTCTCATTCCCTGGTGGTCCAGTGGATGGGCTGTGTAGGTGGGGGGCTGGCAATGAGCTGTAACTTAGCTTTCCTGCAGCTCCTGTCAGCTCCCTTCTCCTCCACTGTAAGTCTCACGGTTTGCGTCCTGCGCGGAGCATTGCCACGGTAACCCGACACTCGCGAGACTTACAGTGGAGCTGACAGGGGAGCTGACCGGCACGGAGGAGAAGGGAGCTGACAGGAGCTGCAGGAAAGGTAAGTTACAGCTCGCTGCCAGCCCCCCACAGGACCGCCGGGCTTGTAATGAGCCTGGCGGTCCTGGTCTGTATTATGGCAATGTATATACGGTATATTTAATTAAATTTTTTTGCATTTATCCCCAAATTATTCACTTGTTAAATCTCAATAGTTAAGGTTGATCTATTCTGACTATCCATACAGGCAGAGAAGAACCGTTTAGCAGCTATGGCAAATAACCTACAGCGAGGAAATGCAGGGCCCATGCGATTATATGTTGGTTCTTTACATTTTAACATTACAGAAGACATGCTAAGGGGCATCTTTGAGCCATTTGGAAAGGTGAGTTATTGTGCTATATGTCCTTTTTTAGCAGTGTCCATAATTAGCTTGCTAAATTAAATTGGGTCTCTGTTTCTTTGAATTAATACAAACCCCAGATGAAGAAATTCCTGAATTGTTCTGACTATGTTGCAAATGAGTAAAATTGTCTAGGATCTCTAAAATTTCATGTTAATCAGGAGAACTCTACATAATACTGCTCTACATCCACCTCTGACTCCGAGTTATAGGCTTCCTATACTGATCTAGTTTAAAATGGAACTGGAGGCAATTGCTGACCATGTTTTAGAAATGACAGAGCAGAGAGAGGATGTGGCATTGTTATTTATGTTGACAAGTCCATAGAAGTTACTTCTTTAACCCCTTAAGTACCAAACTTCTGGAATAAAAGGGAATCATAACATGTCGTGTCCTTAAGGGGTTAAAAACTATAACTCCCTTTCTGGCACTATTGAGATCCCTTTCAGTAAAACCTTTTGGCGGCAATTTTCAACCCCTGACGAAGGAGTTTCAGACTCCGAAACGCGCGTCGGGTTACATATTATAGGTAATTACAGTAATCAGAGTTACCCTATTGATACATAGGTGCTATTGTATCTCTTTTCTCATAGCAGTTAAAGTTACAGTGTATTACTGTTGATTTAGAGATACTTTTTCATGCACTGTATCAACAATATTTAGCATTACCTTGTATTTCCTGGTTTTTCTCCCTTACCACTTTTCTCCTATCTGTTGGACTCCACACTCTGATTTATTAGGCTCAATATTAGTGTCTGCTTATAATTTTACCAGCTTGCTTGGTAGTTTCTCTTTCAAAGGGGAACAACCTTAGCATTTTGTGTGTGTTTTTTTTTATTATTTCTACAATAAAGGGTTCATGCCCATACTTGGTGGAGCTGGTACCACCTACTCTGACCCATTCCCCTAGCCATAGATTCAACGTTTTGTTGATCTAGGACTAAGGGGATTTCCTCTGTTTTTTATATTTGGAAACTATCATTGTTGCTGGAATTTACCGCCCACCTAGCTCTCCGGTGCACTCCCTTTCTGACATAGCCCAACTACTAAGTGAAACGGTAGCTCAAAACCAAAAAATTAAACTGTTGGTTTTTGGAGACTTTAATATTGATTGGCTGAATCCTAAAAATAATAAATCGTGTAGGCTGTTTAAGACTTTTCAGCTAATACAATTAATTTCTTCTCCAACTCGCATTAATATTAAAAGCCAGAAACATACATTGCTCGATTGGATTCTGTCCAGTTGTCCTGACAGAATCAAGGACACAGGTGTTCTCCCTAACAGTTTCAGTGGCCATTGTCTAGTGTACTGCATTCGCAAAATAAAGGTCACTAAATTCCCTCCCAAGATTATAATCAGAAGGTCTTTCAAAAAAATGGAATCTTGAATCATTTTTAAATGATCTCAAGAACATACCATGGCACAGATTAGGTCTAATACCAGATCTTAGACTCTACAATTGCATTTTTTCAGTCCGAGCTCTTGCTTATTTAGAATTTGCATGCCCTTCTGCGTAAAGTGCGACTAAAAGGGATACACCTGCCCCGGGTTACAGCTGACCTCATTCAAATGTACCAGTTTAGAGATTTGCTGTGGTCAAAGTTCAAGCATACTGGCTCCAATAACGATCACTGTACTTGCAGACATTGGCGAAATGCATGCACAAAACAAACAAAAATGGCAAATGCCCAATATAGGTTGTCCTGGATTCTGTCAGGGCAACTGGACAGAATCCAATCAAACAAGGTATTTTTCTGGCTTTTAATATTAATGTGAGTTGGAGAAGAAATTAATTGTATTAGCTGCAAAGTCTTAAACAGCCTACATGACTTATTATTTTTAGGATTCAGCCAATCAATATTAAAGTCTCCAAAAATCAACAGTTTAATTTTTTGGTTTTGAGCTACTGTTTCACTTAGTAGTTGGGCTATGTCAGAAAGGGAGTGCACCTACTGTTTCACTTAGTAGTTGGGCTATGTCAGAAAGGGAGTGCACCGGAGAGCTAGGTGGGCGGTAAATTCCAGCAACAATGATAGTTTTAGTGAAAGGGTCATTGATTACGGGAATGTAGTGTATGTACTCGCACCACAAACCCACCTTAATAAACTTAATACGTTATATAATTCATTCTGCTGCTTTTTACTAGAATGTAATTACTTTACCCACTATTGTGACATGCTAAAAGAGCTAAACTGGCTGTCGCTGGAATCCCGACGCACTCTTCATCTTTCTAGCCTTGTGCATAAGAGTCTTTCTGGTAAGCTCCCACCCTACCTGAGTAGAATGCTCTCCCTGGCTGTTCCCACCTCCTATAACCTATGATCCAGTACTAGCATGATATGTAGCACACCGCAGTACAAAAATAAAGTGGCTTCATCCTCATTTTCCTACAGAGCACCACAATTATGGAATAACCTCAGGGACACAGTCAAATCTTCATTCAATTTAAAATCTTTTTAAGAGATCTATGGCAATATACCTCAGCACAGAATGCACCTGTCATGGTTGAATATATTTATTACATGTATCAAATTTTTGTGTGTGTGTATGTGTGTGTGTGTGTATATGTATGTATGTATGTATGTATGTATGTATATATATATGTATGTATATATATATGTATGTATATATATATGTATATATATATATATATATATATATATATATATATATATATATATATATATATATATATATATATATATATATATATATATTTATTGTATCCTATTGTACAATGTTTCGTGAACAAAGCCCCAGGACATACCTGAAAACGGGAGAAATCTCAATGTATCCATCCTGGTAAAATATTTCATAAATAAATTCATATAGCTTTATACTACACAAATGTGACTTCGTCTTACTCTGGTCATTCAATCCTTTTAGCATATCTATATAACGCTTACTTTAAGCTAGTAAATGTTTAAAAATTGGTAAATAGCTTTCTGAGAATTTCCTTTTCTTTTTTAGATTGAGAATATTCAGCTTCTCAAAGAACCAGATACAGGGCGGTCTAAAGGATTTGGGTTCATAACGGTAAGAATATAACAGAATCTGTTCTCAGTTACTTTTTTTTTTTCCCTCTTTCTATGTCCTCTCTCTGATAATGTCTGCTTCAGTTTTCAGATGCTGAGTGTGCACGCCGTGCCCTGGAACAGCTTAATGGGTTTGAACTGGCTGGGAGACCAATGAAGGTTGGCCATGTGACTGATCGTGTTGATGGCAGCTGTGACATATCATTTTTGGACAATGATGAACTGGAAAAAAGTGGAGTAGATCTAGGAGCCACTGGACGTTTGCAGCTTATGGCAAAACTGGCAGAGGGTAAGTGACTTAACCTTGAATTATTTTCATGACACCGTTCACAAGAAGACCAAATACAAAATTACCTTTTTGTGAAAATTTTATATTTTTAAACAAAATGTTTACGTCTTTAAATTAAACATTTACATCTACAACCTTCTTGGTTGGCATTTTGATTATGACTCTTATTAAAAAGATTTGTGTATAACTTATGTTAACTAGGAACAGGTCTTCAGATGCCTCTTGCTGCTCAAGCTGCTCTACAACTGAATGGAGCCATTCCATTGACTGCCCTGAATCCTGCACTTTCTGGTAAGAGTGAATTTCTTTTTTGTTTTTACCTTCAAAGAATATATTTGATTGCTTTTAAGTTTTATTATGTTCTTTCACAGCTCTGAGCCCAGCTCTAAATCTGGCAACACAATCTATTTCATCCCAGTGCTTCCAGCTTTCCCAACTCTTCAACCCGCAAGCCATGTGAGTAGTTGTATATACTGTTTTGATCGGTGGCACTTAATGACTTTTTTTTGTATTGCTAAAAAAAAATTTTTTTTAGAACTACTTTTGCATTTGTGGCTTCTACCGATGTATGGGGCTGTACATACAACAGTTGCTATACATGTAGTATACACAGTTTAGTTGTAGTGATGTGTTTTTGTTTGTGTTGTTTTCTAAAATATTTTTTTTTTCTATTTCTGTATAGGTAAACCAATGAACCTGCTCTCTGGACTCATTTATCACATATGCCCCATCCTCCATTTTTGTACACTCTGTATTTACCTTACCCACTTCTATTTCATGAAAAATGGTGTGCCACTACCAGGCCTTCCAAAACCATGAATACATTGTAAAGGGTTGATATAACTTTGGGAGATCTTCTTGTAAATACATTTTCCTAAAACTGTACCCAGAGTTTCATTGATCTGGCTGTTCCTAGAATTTTGACGAATTTTCCTTCGTGAGAAATTCTGAGCAGTTTGTACATATATATTTTTGACATTTGATCTATGTACCAACAAATTTTCCTCACTTTGTGTACATTCATCCTTTTGTGGTACAGTTTTGAACTGCTGGACATGTAAATAGCAGCTGGGCTTAATGTTCAGAGTAAGTTGTATACATTTCAGAACCAGGTATATTGAGGTGCACATGTTGTATAAGAAACAGATCCACCATTTTTTAAATTGAGCTTTAGAATAAGAATAAGCCAATCTTGGTCATAAGTCTGTCTTATAGATGGTTTCAGACTGCAGTAATTAAGTGAAGTCTTCTCCTACCGGAATTATCTTGACTTATTTTTGCTTTGGTAAAATCTGTTGAGAGGTTTCAAACTGTCTTCAGTTGGAAATGTATTTGCAAATATGCACAAGCTCAGTCTTAATCCTCCTCTGCATTATTCTCGGATCTGCTCTGAACTCTGTTTTTTAGTTGATTGTCACACCTTCAAATGGAGGGTTAAATGTATCTTCTAACTGAGCCAGTCAAGAATCCTTGAGGGATATTCTGTTAATTTTGCAGAACCAAATATACCTGAGATAGTGGTAGGATGTGCAGTATTGCTAGTAAAGGTAAGTAAACCATGCTTCTCTACAGCCTGTGCTGTTATAGGGATCATGTTTCCCTTTTTATACTTTTTGTAAATACTGACACACTTTCTTATATTAGGTGTGCATGAATATTAAAGAGATGGAGGCTTGCGGATGAAAGAAGCAGAATATAAAATGGTGGGACAGCTGTCACTGGTTATGATTTAGTTGTGTTAGGAAGCACTAGGTGATTATAAGGTGCAAGTGAAAATACCTTTGCTTTAAAATCCTGCTTAGGACAGGCACTGCCCCAAATTTGCTTGTCTGTTTTTTTTATAGTTCTGCTCTGAATTTTTGGAGCCCCCATCTCTTGATTTAGGATGGTTGGTCAAACTCTGGACAACAGGGCTTTACAATTTCCAAGAAATTTTGTTTATTTAAAAAATATATATATATACTTTTTTATGTTTGTTTTTCTGATTTAGCAGGAAAGTGAAATAAAAAATTTAAAAAGTGTCTTGCTTTGTGTAGTTTGTGCAGGTTTTAATTGCACTCTTACCCACATATATACAGTGAAAATAGTAATCCTCCCACCGTCTTTCTACAGATACATGTCTGACATATCGAATGTATGTATGTATGTATATACATATATGAATGTTCTTCATAGAAAGACACAGGAACCATATTTCACCTTTCTATTTCCCACAGTAATGAATATTCATTAAGAGCCCTATTTTTTGAAAGAGATGAAAAAAAGAGAGAGAAAGGAGCCTTAGATTACTGGAACCTCCATGGGGGTTAACCCCTTATTGTTTTGACAGAAAGAAAAAAGAGAGGTTGGAGATTCCCGTATTGTTTATATTGTCACCAATGGAACACTGGTAAATTTAAAACGTCACTTTTATTAAATCAAGTTAAAAGTCCCTTTTTAATAAGGACATTACACACACTCTTTTAATAAACACGTGTATACACACCACATCTAAATGAAAACCACATCTAAATGAAAATGGATAAATCCACTATAAATAATAGTTCCACTAGAGCGAAAAAAATGCCCTCTAATGACTGTATTAGTCTACTGAAGTGGAATCTTACAAAATTAATAGTCTAGAAAAACTAAATCGTTTTAAAATAATTGTAGGGTGTACCCAACAGTACTAGAAAATCATAATTAGTTTACCGACAAATGTTATAAATTATTGGCACTCTGTTATTAGATAGATTTTAACCCCCACCCCTAATAGAGTGGATTGCTAGAAAGTCTTATGCCTGTACACAAAGCTATGGCTTTGCTATCTGCTGGAACTGATTAGCACCGGTCCCTAATGAAACATTGTTACTGATTTCTGTTCACAGAATTGCCTTTGCAACAGTATATTAAAGTAACGAGGATCAGTTTATCGGTTCTCCGCCTATGATTATAGCTTGGTTAAACAGTATAGCTGCTTGTATAATTGTATATTCAATGTGGGAAGTCAAACAGCATCTAAAGAAGCTGCAATCAACACCTTGATAACCTAGTTTAACCTCTAGGACAATATATATTATCGGATAGCTATACAACCTATCCCCTCAATCCCACGATAGAAGATTAATGAGGCAAAGCTAATTGTCGAGTAGTAGAATTTCTCCAATTATATTTATAAATCTAAAACGGCTCTGCATCAATATACTGTCTGAGGGTTACTCGGTCTATATTTCATACCCCTCCGGTTCCCAGAGATTGTAAATAGATACTTTCTATGGTTGGAAAGATCGTCCCCTCTACAAAACAAGCTACTAGGCATAAAGATTCTCTCTAAGATATGTTATCTAAGTGAGCGCCACCCTACATCTCCCTGACGCGCGTTTCGCTTATCAGCTCATCAGAAGGAAACCGGGATCTTTCACCTCCCGGTCTTTTAAGGGTAATACCCTATTGCTATTGGTGACCGTTATTTTTAAATTGGCCAATGAAAAAGAGGATACTCATTAAGTACATCTGACGTAATTGTAGATTAAGAATGGGTTTATTAACCCTTTGTGTTTCCATCACTTAACGGAGCAAGTTGTTGTTACTTAAAAACAATGTAAATGAGTAAAGAAACGATCTGTTATTGTATTTATCAAAATTGATATAAGCTTAAAACGAAGGATATTGTGAATTAAATTATTTTTCTTGATACTCAGTTGTTTAAAAAGTTTTTTGTATATATAGAAAATTGCTTTGATATTACTAAGGTCTTTGTTGATAACTAAATGACCTAAACTTTAGCAGATATAGCATCTTTTTTCAAACACAATATTGAGGTTATAAAGTCACTAAATTGAATCTAATTGATTCTTAGGATAATGTCCATTTACTCTTACCAGTTTATAAATAATATACTATTGAGCTAGTAGATCGATCATACCCCCAGGTTTGTAATCTACCTACAGTGTTCGTTGTTACTAATTAATAAAGTAATGCCCAAATAGTTCTAATTTCTCAATTTTAATAAATATCGTCTTTGAAAGATGCTCCGATGGGCAATAATTTATAAAACTGCCATCATATTTTACCATTTGTGACAGACAATAGAGTTTTATATCGAAATTGCAGTTTCTGATAGTTACATACATAAGTGACTTGATGGCATGTGATTTATATATCAAATGTGCTTGGACCTTCACAATTAGATTAGTAAATGTAAACATTTAAAGTTCTTTAATGATAACAAAAACACTTGATTACGAACTGATAATTTATTATTTCTGACGAAATGAATAAGTCAAGATATGGGCAAGAGCATTGTTAATATTGTCCGATACGGACAAAGTTTTCATCAATATGTATGTTTTATCCCCTATATAATTATAAACTATGCTTACAGTTGAATGCCTGAAATTATTGATAAAAAGGACCAATTTATCTATCAAGTTGGAATAATTTGTGAATCAAAACTTGGTTACTGACAATAATGACGGTGTATCCATATCTCTAACCATGAATGAAAGGGGTGAAATTAAATTCTTCATTAAGCCCCCTAGGGGTCAGTGTTCGAAAGGTGTGTATCCACCTTGACTCTTGTTTTAATAGTTTGAGATTATAATTCCCCTTTCTCGAGTTAAGAGATATTTGTTCAATTGCTTGAAACTTCAAATTTGAGGCATCGCTGTTATGATGTTTTCTAATGTGATTGGCTACAGGTGTAGATATATTGATATTCAAAACCGAATTTACATGTTGCAGTATTCGTCTTCTGAACTGTTGGTATGTTTTTCCCACGTATTGTATACCGCAACTGCATGTAATTACGTAAACAACCTTTGTGGTGGAACAGTTAACAAATTGTTTATTGACAAAGCGTTGTTGAGTCTGAGTACATTCTACGATCTTAGAAGGCAATATATATTCACAGGCCTTACAATGTCCACATTTGTAAGTGCCTTTGGTCATAGTTAGCCATGTTTTTGTCGGTGATTCCGGTTCTAAATGACTATGTACCAGAATGTCTTTCAAATTTCTCGGTCTCCGTGCTGTAATGCTGGGCCATTCTGTAAGATGTTTAGCCAAATCCTTATCATGTGTTAGGATTGGCCAATGGTCCCTGTAAATTCTTTTTATTGGGTCCCATAGTTGATCAAAAGTCCCAATACAGCGTATAGGTTGTTTCTCTACTGATGGTTTCATAGTTCGTAGAGCGGTAGTTCTTTCTATTGCTGATGCCCGTTGGTATGCTCTTTTTAGAACTCGGTTCGGATAGCCTTGAGATTTAAACCTTGATCTTAGTTCTTTTGCCTCTCTGTAGAATGTCTCATCGTCCGAACAGTTGCGCCTTGCCCTTAAATACTGACCATATGGTATTCCTGCTTTTTGGTTAAATGGATGGTGACTATCCCAATGAAGTAGACTATTGGTAGAGGTTTTCTTCCGGTATAATTCCGTGTGTACCTTACCATCCAAGGTCAGGAGAATCCTTAAATCCAGAAATTCAATTTGTTCAGCATCAATCACATATGTTAGTTTAAGTCCTATAGAATTGTCATTAAGAATTCTTACAAAATCCTTAAAGGTATCAACAGTATCTAGCCAGAATAATAGGACATCATCGATATATCTACCCCAATGTAGTATAGATTGTCCAAATTTTTCCGCTATTGTTTCACTTAAAATTGTCTCCTCCCACCATCCTAGGTAGAGATTGGCATAACTTGGTGCACAAGCTGTGCCCATAGCGGTGCCTTTCACTTGCAAGTAATAGGTCCCATTGAAAATGAAATAGTTGTGCGTTAAAATGAAGTCCAACAGTTTCACTATAAAGTCTCTTTGAGATAATGTAAAGTCAGATTTCTCCAAAAAATAGGTTGTGGCCTTTAGTCCCATTGTGTGTGGAATATTGTTATATAGAGAAACCACATCTAAGCTGGCTAACATAGAATAAGGTGGAACCTCAAGATTCTCTAATTTGAGTAGAGTCTGTTTGGTATCTTTAATATGAGATGCCAGCTTCAGAACAAATGGATGGAGTAGTTTCTCAATATACTTGCTGGCATTTTCTGTGAGAGATCCGTTCCCAGAGACTATTGGTCTACCTGGGGGTTTCTGTTGATCCTTGTGCACTTTCGGAAGACAGTAAAAGGTGGCAATTGTGGGATTTGTGTTCGGAACGATGTATCTAAATTCGTCTCTGGAAATAGTCTCATGTTCCAGTGTCTGGTTCAAAAGTTTTTTCAAATCCTCAATGTAACTTAAAGTTGGATCATTAGTTAATTTTCTATAGCATAGAGGATCATTGAGGTGATCCATACACATTGAGACATACATCTTCCGATCCATAAGTACAATATTGCCACCTTTATCTGAAGGTTTAATGATTAAATTTTTGTTCATACTTAGTTCACGTAGTGCACATTGTTCACTTAGAGACAAGTTGTTTTTATTTATTGGCGACGTTGTTAATTTTTCAATTTTGTCTGTTGTCATTTGGACAAAGAGATCTACATTTGTTACCTCTTTTAAATTTGGAGTATACCAAGATGGAGGTTTAACGTCTGTTAAAGTTTGAATAGTATCCTGGTCGTCCAGTAACCGTATCAATGTTTGCAGATGATCATGATCCTCTACAGCAATGCCTATCTCTTTACATAACTTATTCTCTCTTCGGTTATGTAGAGAACATAATGCCAGTTTTCTACCAAACAAATTGATGTCTTTTGTCCAACTGAACACATCTGCCCCTGGTGTAGGGACAAATGAAAGGCCTTTATTTAGGAGTGAAATGTGATGTTTGGATAAAGTGTACGTTGAGAGATTAATGACTTTATTATCCTCTTTCTTGGGAATTTCAATTATTATTGCCTCTTGGTGGTCCTCTCTGGCTTGTAACCCCATTTCCCCCTGTCTCTCAGGCGTCCTCTCTGTGGGGTGGGCCATTCCTGGTCTAAAAAAGTTTGTGA